AAAACAAAACAAAACAAACAACTAATTAAATTCGTAATTTTCCCATCATTTGCTATAACATCAAATTTAAATTTTTCAATGCTCTAACTATACTTTAATAGAAAAAACTTCACACAGTATTTCATGACATAACGAAATATCTAAGCATTTGAAGACGAGGAGGTATTGAAATCTATGTAAGCATTACAAGGTAAAACTTACTGTGAGTCTGTGACTATTCTGTAAGTTGTGAATTTGTTCTATTTAAAAATGTGTTCATCTGTAATGTTTTATTTTATTTTGTTTAGGTTCGTGAAATACATGAAATGAAGTTATTTTCATCCAGGATCATCTATAGGGTCATAAATGTCACTCTCTATGACCACTTTGTTAGGACATACTTATTTCTTACATTTGTACAAATTATTTTATAATTGTAGCATTTCTCTTTTTGAACCGAAAATGATAAAAAAATATACATCGTATATTCTGGTAAACTTATTTTATGATTTTTTGAAACTACGCGTTTACCTACACTATGAATTAGTATCGTAACATATAATTATCCATTATTATTCAGCATTATAACCGGTTGTTTATTTATGTGTGCAATTCTTTTGTTTGTCTTACTAAATCGTGAATTTCATCAAGAAAAGATGATGAAGAGGCCTAATATGTTCTTTGATTCGCTACTCCAGTTGTAGAAGACTAGTTTCGCCGACTTCACGGCTCCTCAGTACTGCATAGATAAGCGAAGAAAGTAAATAAAGTAGGCCTCATATAATGGCTGTTACTGGTGGAAAAAGACTATATATCAAAACCAAACTGCTATATTCCACCAATATATGAGGCGTACTGTATATATCTGCTTCTCTCTTCTAAGTAACCAAACAAACTGTTTATATATTTTATCACTATTGTTGCATAATATATTATCATATTAGTATATTATAGTGTATACAACAGTTATTACATACTCCATGATAGACAGTACTCATATAGCCCATTGTTTAGCTTTGTTCAAGAACAAACAAACAAATGAAGACTAAAACGTCGTCATGCAGAAATTTTAAAACAATTCTGCTAGATATCTTTGCTGTTCAAGTCCAATCTGAAATTCTTACATTTTATTAACATCTCCTAAAAAATTGCTAGTAAAAGTCTGAGTTCTGTCTAAAAATCCAAAAGAAGGTCTCAGTATTAAGACCAAATAGTGGTCTTGTAGGAAACTGGACAGTTGCATTCTCAAACAGTGTTTCACAAAAAACTGTCATTCTACAATTTTTCTCTCTAATGTTTTGTACCATTTTGTTTTGTTACTGATATTTCTCCAGTGGATCAACGTTACGTTTGAAGGATTATAACCCTAAAAATTGGGTTTTGATACCAGTGGTTAGCGAAGCACAGATAGCCCTGTGTATAGTTTTGCGCTTAACGACAAAAAAAAACAACAAAACCATTACTGATTATTGGTAGAATCATATAAAATAACGAGTCATAATAATTGCTTCATTTTATTGCACTCTTATATGTCTTAGTCAACATAAATAGTGATACAGTATATTATGTATTAAATCTACAGGGAGACACTGAAATCTGAAGCTAAGCAAGCGATTGAAAAAGATTTGTTGCCTGCCTTTAAGAAGCTCGAAACTTTTATAGAAAAGGTTAGTTAATTAAAAAAAGTCCTTCTTTCAACATTTTTGGTTTAAAGAATCTAATGTGTCATTATTCTTATTTCTCTGTTTCAGGTTTGATGGGAAATAAAAGATATACTTAAACTTATTTTGAAACAGACGGGTAATGCCTAATCTATTATTTACGTCCAATTAAAAAAACATGTATAACTTCTGAGACAGGCTGTTGCCTTTGATAGTTCTATAAGAAATATTAAACTTTAGAATATACACCCGTAGATTTTTATGTACACTTTTATAGATTTTGTTGCATTAATTTTTGAAGAAGTGTGTGTTTTCTTATAGCAGTGCCATATCGGGCCATATGCTTTGTCCACTGAGTGGAATCGAACCCCTGAGTTTAGCATTTTAAATCCGTAGACTTACCGCTGTCCCACCGGGGGACTTTCAATAAGTAATCTTGCAGTTACGATGCCGTTTTAAAAAAAAATATCCGCGCCTTTACTCACAACTATGTGAGCAGTCACTCTTGCCAACAGCAACCAAAATACACAAAACCGTTCTTGAATAACAATCATTAATATTTATAAGGTATAGGATTCGAGCCCGCGACCCTCAGATTGCCGGGCTATATAGTGTGTTAAATATAAATTTGTTTAGTAGTTGTTGTCTTATCATACTACTAATAAAAAAGTTGCAGATTTAATTTCGAATTTAAAGGGCCGAGCGTAGCCTAGTTTTTAGCCTGTCCAGTTCGTGAATCTGATGGTTTATGGTTTGCAGCCCTATACCTCAAAAACGTGTTCCGCACTTTGGGCCGTTAGCACGAAGTATTTACCAGCAAGATTTCTCGAAACGACCGAATGGATTTGGACTACGACACAGTTTAGAAGTTATTAGTTTTTGAAGGGTCAATGTCACAGCAATTCACGAACATCCAAAAAAGTCCCTGTCTGTTAACATGAGGCGGCCCGGCATGGCCAGGTGGTTAGGGCGCTCGACTTGCAATTGCTAGTCGCGGGTTCGAATCCCTGTCACACCAAACATGCTCGCCATTTCAGCCGTGGGGGCGTTATATGTGACGGTTAATTCCACTATTCATTGGTAAAAGAGTAGCCCAAGAGTTGGCGGTGGGTGGTGATGACTAGCTGCCTTCCCTCTAGTCTTACACTGCAAACTTAGGGGCGGCTAGCGCAGATAGCCCTCGTGTAGATTTGCGCGAAATCCATTACAAAGAAACAAACTGTTAACATGAGGACCATTTTTTCACACTATATTCGCTCTATAACTCAATCAAAAATGGTCGGATTTTAACGAAACTCAGTAAATTTATACAAAATATTATTCCCAATTAATCTGCCAAAAATTGTCCGTTTTCGTTGATAACGACGGACATAAGAACACATTTTCGTATTTTTTGAGGGCCGAATATAATCAAAGCTGCGTGGCGGAAGTATGCGCTCTAGTTTCCTTATATTATAGTTATCTCTGTGCTCATGCTTTACACATGTAGTTTTAGGAGATATGAAATAACAAAAAAGACGTTGGTTACGTCCTAGTTTTTACCACTATATGTTAGCTTTCTATAAAATAATAGTTACGTTTTATTGTTAAAAAAAAACGTTGCACAGAGACTCATTTAGTCTTTTTTTAAGCCTTCAAGAAATTATCAAACAAAAACGTTACCAACCTTACTAATTTAATTGCAATAATTACTTAGTAGAATGCCCTTGTAACTAGCATTATTTCTGGTCTTAGCCCTGAAAATACCGACTTTTTTTTTAAACGTATCATACCTTTAGGGTCCACATCATATCGAGTAACTTCATGTCTTTACCAGTTACAAAAATCAGTGTAAAGAACTGAGAAAAAATATGTGAAGTCACTTAATTTCTAAGTAAAGTACACAGAGACTCCAGAAATAATCAGAATACTGAAGGTATTTTTGTTTCACATTTTCTGTTTTGTTTGTTTGTTTGTTACTGAGACAAACAAAAAAGACGTAAGCCGAAATGTCGGTAATAAACTGTTTTATTCTGTGGTTTCAGTTATTTTCAACTGATTAAAATCGTATGTGTGGATTTAAACTAACGAAAACTATTGAAATGATTAGTGGGTAAACACTTGGAGGTTTTCTTCAACTAAACTATTTCGACGAACAGTTACATACAAAATTCCAAACGTTCTGTTCAGGAAATTTTATTATACTTAAACTTTACTATGCTATAGCTCCCCAGGTCTATCCTTCTTTTTATCGAATTAATCTTTTTTGAAATTACACCAAATCCACTTTTCGTATATCAATGAGGGACCTAGCCTAATTTTCTGTAGATACACATCAAATTGCCACGTGAATTATTGATTGTTTTATTGGTTGGTTATTACTTGACTTGATTTATCTACACATTTCTTTATTGTAGAAGGTATTTCTACATTAATAAGTGATATTTAAACTTGCTGGTTTTAACGTTTGTAACAATCCCGATTTTTGAAACAAAAGGCTGGGCTGCAGTTTTAAACCTTATGTTTTGTTTGAAATTCGTAAATCGTGTTTTAAATATAAGGAGGAAACACTTATCACTGTTAAAAATTACAATATCGGGTATGAATTATTTTAAACATATATATATGTATATATATAATGCATTTAATTATCAAAAATGAAAATTTAACTTTTAAATTTAAATATGAAATGCAGTGAGGCTTTATTTGTAGTTGTAAGTGTGCATTGTCATAGGTAACTATTTAATTTTTGTTACATAATACAATAGTAGGGCAGTTGCAATATTTCTATATGGTCAGGTTAATATTGTTTCATAGTGCATAGTAGTATAATTACAACGGTTTTGTGTAACTTACGTAAATATCATCTAATGTTTGTTTGTTTGTTTGAAGTTAAGTACAAAGCTACACAATGGGCTATCTGTGCTCTGCCCACAACGGGTATCGAAACCCGGATTCTAGCGTTTTAAGTCAGTAGACATACCGCTGTGCTACTGGGGGGCATCATCTAATGATATCCATGGTAGCACAGTGACAAGGTTTCTAAATTATTAGCTGGAGTATCCGTCCATTGGACGGACAAAATAAAAATTTGCTTGTAACAAAGGTTGGTAAATTTTGCTTCTATACTGCTTCTTAATAAAATAAACATCAAAAGTGCAATACAAATACATAAAGGTACTAGTACTGAAAAGAAAGACATACTGTTTTCAAGAATTATATCACTATGAAATTAGATGGGGGTGCAACCCCCTCATGACCTTCCTAATGTCACCCTGTATCACTGTGTCAAGTTGTGCTGATTTGGTAAGTTTGTTCGAAATTAAATATGAAATTAGATGGGGTATAATCCCCCCCCCTCATGACCTTTCTCATGTCATCCTGGAAATGTATAAGGAAGAGATACACACATATTGACATATGTTTGTATTAAAGATGGAAGGTCCAACCCCACCCCTATATCATCCCATATCATTGTGTCAAGTTTGGTGCTGATTGATCAAGACATGTTGAAACGTATAAGGAACAGATATGAAATGATAGATATACGACCGTGTATTTTTTTCTCCAACACACATTTTGCTCTATATAGTAGATTTGTTTATGTGTTTTTTGATAAGCCCAAAGCTTCACAATGGGCTATGCGTGTTGTGCCTACAACGAGTCGAAAGCCGATTTTGAACGTTATAAGCCCACACCCTTACTGCTGAACTACCGAGGTCTATTGTTATATAATACAACAGTAAGAGGGTCAATGTTTCTGTATGAGTATATAATGACTGCTGTATAACATCACAGTAATAGTGTCAATATTTCTGTACGAGTATTTGATAGCTGTTGTATAATACCACAGTAATAGTGGCAGCATCTCTGTATATATATGAAATAACTGTTGTATAATACCACAGTAATAGTAACAACATCTCTGTATATCTACGTAATAACAGTTGTATAATACCACAGCAATTGTAACAACATCTCTGTATATCTACGTAATAACAG